TATTTTTTATACTTACTAAAAATTAGTTCTGGGATAACACATATCATATCTTGTATTCATGAAATGATTTACGTTATTCCAAAAGTGATATCTAGAACTCAAAGACATGATTTCTGAGATTTCAGAAATCATTTCTGGAACTCTTTATTTGTATATTAGGACATTGATTACCTAAAAGTTTTCCCAAAAAATATTTTTGCATTATTTCGTGACTGAAATACTTGTTTTTTTTTTCTTACAGATGTCGTGTGAAAAGGTCCAAAATTGTGCACATAACATTTTGGGATGTGAATGTGTATGAAAATGGGCAGGCATATATGAACTTTATGCATTTGAGGAGTTTGTCATATGAAGATTTTTTAAATAGAGTCCATGACATTGTTTGTGGAGACAAGCACATGTGTGACTATTGATTTTACTTCTTGATGGCCAGTGAAAATGGACTTGGGTAGTCTGGACAGTCCATCCGGGCAGTCTTGGACAACAAGGTAACACACCCTTATATATCGAGATGAGATATGTCCATTCCAATATTACATTCTCTATATACTTATAGAGATTTTCATACATTGTTCATCGTCTTCTTCATTTGTGAACTGACTTGATCATCGGAGTGTTAACGTTGAGAACCTCCCCGGCCCATTTTACAGGTCTACAAACATGTCAAAGAGCAAATTAGGTCCTGCGAACTCGGTCCAGGTCGTTTCCACGCCAATTTGTATCTATGTGACAATAGTTTTATAGTTACATCTAGAAAATATATTTGTATTATGCAATCAGGTTCCATGTAACCCCAACATTCTTATGTAATATTACATCTACTTCTCTCTCTCTATATATATATATTTAGTGAAGTTATTTCGTAATGTTAATGTTAGTCAACTTAGTGGTTCATATTAAATACTGAAATACCATATTTATAAAACACTATAATAAAATTATAAAATATTTCATAATATGTTTATTTTTTATTTTTAAAATACAATTGTTTAAAGGTTTGATAGCCTAACAGACATAGCTTGATACCGAAATATCACATTAAAATAGAAAACACAATAAATGAAAGTTTAGACATTTTATTATATATATAAATATACATTTTTGTTTTAAAAACTTTAATTTGTCTTGAAGTTTGATAGCCTAACATTATTTATGTTTCTCAATATGGCAAGTGATTAGTTTCAAAGTCAATAGTAGTATGCTATGTATTGTTTTAATTAGGCATATTTTTTCACAAATATACATATATTTATTAAAAAAATTATATTTGATAGTATAAGTACAACTTTTTTATAATAAATTAATTATTGTGAGTCGGCATGTCTAACGGTTAAATTGTCTCGCACGTGAATTATTTAACGAATGCTTTCGAATTTTCATTTCTTAATTTAAAAAATGCTTGAAATTTGTCATGTGACAAAAATAAGAAATTTATAAATTACCAATACATTTTTTTTTTTTTTGTTATTGTTGTTTTTTTAAAATTATCCCTTTTGGGGAGGGCAAAGGAACTTGCATTCACAGACGAAAATGCTGCTGCCACGGCTCCCTCCTTGCGTTCGCCTGCAGTATGCGTCAAGCACGAGGTCTCCACCAATGTTGCTCGAACACGTGTTCAAGCATGACCTATGCGGAGATGCCGATTCACAGTTCGTAGGTATCTCCATCTCGCATGTGGGCCATCGGGCCACACAACCTGCGGCAAATCAAAAAATATTTTATCAAACTCGTGGGCTTTCCAGGCCCATACAAGAAAAGTAGTTATTGGGCCTATTGGACCGTGGGCCAAGATGATGACGTCAGTGCAAAACAGTATAATTGAGTAGTTTTATAGTTTGTACCAGAGATGAGCATGAAGAAGAATGCAAGTGTAGCAGCAGAAGAAGATTGTTGTTTTGCCATTTTTAGACCCTTAGAAAATTTAATTGGAGAAAAAATTGAGAGAAATATGAAATCTAATAGCTAAGTTATGATGCATCGAGTCGTATTGTCGTGTGATTGAGACCGGTTTATATAGGGTTAGGTGCACCATACTGTTTTGTTTATAAATCTTATGGAATTATATATTAATATAATCTTGAATGATTTGAATTTTCTGAATTTCATATTTCAGGAATATTATAAATTAATATTTGAGATTATATTCTATTTAGAAGTAATTGCATAGTTTGAAATGACATACTAACCTACTCTACCCAAAGATATATATGAATATTTCCGATGTAAGGAATTATTATAATGCGATTATATAAGTAAATATTTTCCATATATTCTAATTAGATTTGACTATTTCCTCAAATTTACAGCATTATTGCTAAATCTAGAGTTGAGTTTGAAATTAGATCTAGAGTATCTTGGAAAGCCATGTGAATAGGTTGAAAATTCTATTTTCTTTTTCTTTTTTTTTTTTTCATTTTACTTATAAAGTTTTCTTGCAGTTTTTCTATTTTCATTATTTTTGTTATTGATGAACGATCTGAGCTCGAGCTCATTTAAAGCTCGTTCGGTCAGCGAGTTGAGCTCGATAAGACTCGAAAAAAAGATTTTTATGTATTTTCTATAATTCGGCTCGATTTTTGCTCATTAAGGCTCAAGCTTGACTCTTTAATATTGATAAACAAGCTGAATTCGATCTTGATTATAAGCTCGTTAAGTTAACGAGTCGAGCCGAGCTCTGCTCGTTAAGGGTTCGAGCTCGAGCAACATGAGCTGGAGCTTGGCTTGACTCGTTTACACCCCTACTCATCTATGCCCTTTCTGTATATAGACTCTATTTATACCATCTCAAATCGTCTGGTATGGATGAGCTCAACTATGATCGTACAACGTTGGCTATCGAGCACAAGGAGCTTCTAAGTAAAATGACGGACGGACAGACAGGGGTCTATACGAAAATTATGAAAGTTGTTGAATCAAGAAAGGACGGAGTCTTCTTCTTATATGGTTATGGGGGAACGGGTAAACCGTACTTGTGGAGGATTTTATCAGCTAGTTTACGTTTAAAGGGTAAGATCGTCTTGTACGTCACATCAAGTGGGATAGCATCTCCTTTACTGTTAGGAGGATGGACTGCTCATTCACGATTTGTCATACCATTGAATTTGCATGAAAATTCATCGTGTAATATCAATCAGGCGAGCCCTCTTGCGAATTAATAATACGTTGTTGTCTTATAATATGGGATGAAGCTCCAATGATGCACAAGCACCATTTCGAGGCCGTTGAAGCGTCCATCTAGGATGTAATGGGAGCAACGAACAGTCGAACAAGAACAAATCGTTTGGAGGCAAGCCCGTTGTCTTTGGTGGGGACTTCCGACATATCCTCCCAGCTATTCCAAAAGGGAGTCATCAGGATATTGTGAATGTTGCAATTAACTCTTCCAACATATAGGCTGATTGTATTGTGTTGAGACTTCGGACGAACGCGAGAAGCTGACAACTTTTGCTAATTGGATAGCGAGCATCGAAGATGTAACCATTCGGAGATCTAATGATGGATGTGTCTTGATAGACATACCTGATGATATATTGTTGGAACCCAGTGATGATCTTATCACTACAATTGTTGAGAGCACCTATCCAATGTTTAAGGATGCAACATATGATCCCAGTTATTTGAAGGATAGAACTATACTAGTCCCAATGTTGGAGGTGGTTGAGTCTATCAATGAATACATGACGTCTTTGAATGTGATTGATGGTCAAACATACTTGAGATCTGATAGTACGTGCAAATATGATTTAGATAATGATTTTTTGTTTGATCCTCACACCCTGGAGTTTTTTAATACCATCTGATATTCTAAAGTGCCAAATCGTGAGTTGAAACTTAAGATACGAACCCCATTCATTTTATTGCGGAACATTGATCATTTTATTGGTGCAATGTTACGAGATTGGTTGTATAAAACTCTCCACTCATGTGCTTCAATGTAAGGTATTGACTAGATCCAATGCAAGGGAAGTGTTGATACCTCGAATGACTCTATCACTTTCCGATGTTAGAATACCTTTCAAATTTCAGATTAAGCAGTTTTCTCCTAATGGTTTCTTATACTATGACGATTAACAAGAGTCATGGTCAGACTTTATCACATATTGGAATGCTCTTAAAGTAGATGGTATTCATTTACGGTCAGTTGTATGTAACTGTTTCCCATGTCACTAATCGAAACGGCTTGAAAATATTAGTTTGCGGAGAGGATGGTGTGGCTACGAGGCAAACAAAAAATGTCGTGTACAATAAGGTTTTTAATAATACATAATAGTTTTTTTATTCTATTTTATTTATATTTTTTATTCACGAATATATTAATAAGGCTGGACAAATAGCCTTAAAACTGTCCATCCCGTACATCGCACAGGTTCTGCACTAGTTGTATTTATAAGATTTAAGAGAGAAAAACTAATGAATAACAAAAATCCTATGGAGCCAGTAGATGGCTCTTTCGGAGAATCATCCATAGATTTATGTCTTCATATTTGTTTTAAGTGTATATATATATTTATTGACAACTTGTCAATACACCATTTATTAGAAAAATATGGATCGTTCTATAGCAAAATTGATGAATAACAACATACTACATAAAAGTATTTTTCATATCCAATGACAGTCCACAAAATAATTTTCTTCCAAAATTGAATAATTCCATGTTTACAATGGGTATATTTATGGCTCGTTGATATCCAATGACAATTTGTTTTAAATTGAATAATTTAACAAAATATGGATCGTTGATAACTTGATATAATTGAATCACAATTTTATATACAATGGGTATATTTATGGCTAAAATATATATAGACCATTTAAAAATTTATATGACATGTATGTGTCAAACTTTTTCAATTACCAACATTAAACTTTTAACAATATTAACTACCAAAATTACTTTCCTAATCAGTTATGAAAAGAATTTAACAAGCATCAGTCGTATCTTTATATTCATATGTTACAGAAAACATAATATTACGACAAAAAATAATGGTAAATCTTTATATCCATATGTGGTCCTTCAAAAGGTTCTGCATGAATGCGAAAACCGGGTCACGAATGTCAACAGTGGCAAAAAACTGAGAAGAAGCTGAGACGGGAATTTCGTCGGGGCATGCGGATCGGGATCGGGTTTCCAAAAGTTGGAATTGAGAACTCGTGGAAAGTGCATTTTGGAGACGTTGGTCGGGTCCCGGTCGTGGGCACCGGAGCTTGTCCTGGCATGCGTGAGTGTCGGAACTCGTTGAATTATTTTATTTTCGTATTGTATTGAATTTGATGTTTAACTTATTTTGTTGACTGTAAGTTAAATTGTTTATATTTATATCTTTCATTTTCAGTAATGATAAAATTTATAGAATGTGATTTGCTCATTATCTATCTTATGATTTTAGATATTACATAAATAACCTATAACGTATAAAATTTTATTGTACATTTGTTCATGTGCACAAGATCGAGTACTAGCATGAACTAGTTATCAATTACTGTGGTAACCAAACACTTGAAGTCCTCCCATCCCGTTGGGCCTGTTGGGCCTTTATTACAAATGAAAAAATGAACCCGACCCAAAACAGATGACCCGATGAGATATTGGGTCGTGAGCTGACCCGATAAATTGGTTCCATCTTCTTCCATTGGACCTCGAAATACCCTCCTCCCGCCGCAGATCGAAGTCACCTCAGCCCCTTCGCCGCCGCTGGTCAGTGGGGTTAAGATATCTACTAAACTATCAGTCATGTCACGCCGAGAAGACCGTAGCTCCGACGCAAGACGACACCGTTCTCGGTTCGACCGCGAGCCCAGGTAGAATGTCGGAAATGCAATTGCAATTTCTTTTTCTGCCATGCTTTCCTTCTTTGTGAATTTACTGGTTGTCAGGTTTTTAGGTTTCCAATGGAAGTGATGGTTTAGGGGTTTGTTTATAAACTTGGTTCTCGTGTTAGTTGCCGTACCATATTTGCTTGGCGTTGAGCTTTTTGCTTCACCTTTTTTTCTGAATTTCGTAGGGTTTCGTGTCACCTGTTCGAGAAAATCTTCATATTTTTTTTTCCGTTACTGTTGATTGATGAGTAATAAAAAACAATTCTATGAGCATAACTATTTTTTTCCAGTTTTTATTCTTGCCATTTAGAGGGTTCCAGATTTGGTTTAGCATCATTTTAACTCTTATGCTGATTTTTCCATAGTTGCAAAAGATCATACTAGAAGACTGTAAGTATTGTTCATACTGAGCTTAGCTTATGAGTATAAGATGTTGCAACTTTAACCTGTCTGTACTGCTATTTCAACTCCCTAATGGTTTAAACAGCTCGAGAACCTGAATACGAAATGCTTGTTTATGAATATATAGCCCTCAGTTAATGTAAGATTGTTTTGTTAATACTGCAAGCCCCAAGAGATCGAGAAGAGATGTCAAAGTAGAATCTGAAAGGCCACCTCCAGAAACTAAGTCGGATAGAGATCGGGACTCTGATCAGAGGCATCATCGTCGACTGAGGGACCCATTGCCGCTTGAGTCCCCATTAGCTGTGAACAAAGACACTGATAACAGAGTCAATGGACCTCAGGAAAGTACCAAAAGAACTTCGGATCAAACTAAAGTGCCTCAGTCACGATCGTACTTTCAGGTATAATTTTTCATGTAACTCGTGGATGTTAATCCACAAGAAGTTTGTGTCGCGTTATAATGCATTACGTTCATTAGGTGATAGTTTCTAATTTTATAGTTTTTTTTTTTTTTTCCCAATGCAAGACCTTTTGAAAGGTTTTTCTACTAACCATTACTGCTCTTTGGAAATTAGGTTCTCGCTAAGTTGTTCTATTATTTGGGTCGTATCAAATAGCTATGGTAGTTCTGGATTTTGCAGCTCGGAACAGAATCAGTCGAGTATTTGAGGACACTCTGCAATTTTCTTTATCCGTCAATTTAAGGTTTATTGTGTGTGGCAGCCTCTTGTTTGACTTTAGTTTTACCAAACGATTTTCTCTTCTTTCCCTTCTCGAGAGGCACGTAGATCTCGATAAGACTTCTATACTGTTGAAATTGGTACTCACTAGTTCACTAGAAAAGACATGCGTGTGCATTGAGGTGGTCCTTGAATTGTTTGTTAATTATTTGGAGACCCCATTTACCTCAGATTTGTGNTGGGTTCAGCCTTGGTGACCTCAAAGTCTCAAACACCGTGATTATATAACAGTATTGGGCCTGCCTGTGCTTGTGTTTTTTATAACAGCATGACGAACGTGCCAGTGGTGGCCAAAATGGGAGGGTCTCCAGTTACAGGACAGACAAAGGTAAAGTCTTAATATGACGTTGCTTTCATCTTTTTCCAATTGTTAATTATTTGTCTGATGCTATAATTTGGTTTAACAAAAATAAAGAACGTGGATGGTGGAGGGATTCCGAAAACAGTCGGGCAGAAGCTAAAATGCCGAGAAGTTACTTAAATGACGAGACTTCAAAAGATAGCAGAGATGGAAATCATGCTTGGAAACATGACAGGTATTTCCAAATGGAGGCAGATCAAAAACCTCCTTCACGTAGTAAAAGACCTGCCTTTAGAGAGCAAAAGGCTCCACTCAATCCCGAGCAAACTGAAAAAACTGCCGAGCAAAAGGTTCAAGATAATAATGTTGTGGAAAGTGGAAAAAGAGACGTGAACAGATCATCTGCAAGGGGAAGAGAGTTTGGTAAGTACGAAACTTGGAGCAAGAATGGCCGTGATAGATACAAAGGAGAGAGGGACAGGTTTAGTAACAACAGGCAAGGAGGGTACAATCAGGCGGGTGGGGGGCGCGTGGAGAAGTGGAAGCACGACCTTTATGATGAGGCGAACAAGAGCCCAAACCCGAAGAATGAGGAAGATCAGATTTCGAAAATCGAAGCCCTTTTAGCCTCATAAGTGTGTGTTGTAGTACGGTCGTGTGCCTGCTAGAAACTTTTGATTGGTTGTGTTGCAAAATTATGTTTTGATGTTGTTTTGGGTTTTTGGAGCTATTGACGAGTTGCCCAGACTTGAATTTTATCTGTTTATGAATTTCCGTGTTTTGATTGGAAAATGCAGGCTGCTGAGATTCGTTAGGACTGTAAAGCAAAGTCGTAAGACCTTCTCCACCCGATACCAAAAACTCAACAAATAGAATAGAATTCACTCCCACCGAATTGCAAAACCCAAACCCAGAACGAGTTTGTCCAACTCTCTTCTTTCAAACTCAAATTTGAGTTTCATGGCATTTTTTGCTTGTCATCTGAAAAATTAATTTAAGGCCCCACGTTTTCTTTGAAATTATCAAAATACCTAAATAATAGTATATATTTTGCTACAGTCAGCATTAATTGTTTGCTTGATTTGCAACTTTTTCATCGTCTTTGTAAATAACCAATCGAATATTTGATTTGTGAACCCTGTTAGTTTTTTGTTCATAACCCCCTACCATCCTTTTACATATAAACTGTTTTCAGAATATTGTGTTGGATATATAAATTTTTTTATTCTTCTTATATAGTCGAAAAATAGCTACGAAAGATAGGAAATTTTGTTTTTGAAAAACAATTGTTTTCTAGATTCTTTATGAAGTCGACATAAATAAATATAATAAAATATTAGTTGGTCTAATAAAATATGGCTGTGTGAACGATATTTTTGTTGGATTTAATACAATGATATCTTTTTATTTTTTAATTGTGTTGTTGAGATTAAAATAATTTATTTTTGTATTTTAATATGATTATTGACAAAATCATGGAAGAAACAAAACTGATTTTTTTGTTTCTTAACTGAGTACATGTTTCAATGTTTTTAGAAGAAAAATATTAATATATTAGTTGTAACATTAAATACTAAAAACAATGGGGATTACTATTCACCGCCTCCTATTACTATTTACCGCCTTCTTTGGACATTTTTGTCCCTCATTTTTTTCCAAAAAAAAAATAAAATTATTTGTTGTCCGGCCGCTGAAACCGGAAGGCCCAAATGGCGTCCGGCCCCGACGGCCGGTCGTGACCGGTCCGACCGGTCAGACCGGCTGGACACTATTTTTTTTTTTTATAAAATAATATTATTATAAATTATTATGTTATATATTTAAAATAATTTGTTATAAATTGGACGTTAGAATAAAAAAAACTCATTCAACTGAAGTTTAGCAAAACAAAAAAAAAACCATTCAACTTAAAAATGAAAAAAAAAAGTACCATTGATGCGATTTTCGATTGCTCTGTAACACGAACGAGCCTGTCTCTGCAATCGAAAATCGCATCAATGATAATTTTTTCTTCATTTTTAATTTGTGTTACAGATCATTCAACTTAATGTTTTGCAATAAAAAAAAAACTCATTTAGAAACATTACATTTTACATTAATAAAGTACAATGACAATTTTAAACTAATTTATTATTTAATATCACTACTAATTGATTATAACAACAATAATAATAATCCAAATACTTTCATAACTAATTAATTGTATAATCCCTCTAAATTACAAAATTATATTGTAGTTGAGGAGCATCGTCTGTCTGTCCCTCTCCCGACGAACAGACGCATCTACACCTCGACTTCTAGTGTGTCCGGGGCCAGAACCTTGATAATATTCATTAACCTCGTCGTCGTCATCCCTGGCAGATTGTCTAGGTCTACTAACACCCTGAATCAAAAATATAAAATAATAATTAGTAAATATTTTTTTGCTAACAAATTACATATATATTTTTTAATATATTCTTTAACTATATATATATATATATCTTTATATATATATATATAATTTTTGTAATACAACTAATTATTAATATATATATATATATATATTTTTTATTTAACTTTTTTAAGTGAAATTAATTATTATTAATAAGTGAAATTTTTTACCCATTTAAATAGTGATTAATTAATTTAATAATATTTAGTAATTATTATTCTTCTGATAATTAAAAATATTTTTTATCCAATAAATTAATTAATATATTTTTTATTTATTAATATAATATTTTTTTGTTTTAAATTATATTAATTTTTTTTCAAATAAATTAATTAATATATTTTTTTTATTAATATATTATTTTTTCATTTTAAATTTAAATAATTATAATTTTAAATTATAATTTATAATTTTTCATTATAATTAAATTATAAGTATTATTATAATTTATAAAAAAAATGACCGGACGAACTTTCCGGACGGCTTTTATGCCGTCCGAACCGGCCGGCCGGACGCCCTTTGAACCGTCCGATGCCGGCGGCCGGACGGGCTAAAAGCCGTCTGGACGAACTTTCCGAACGGCTTTTATGCCGTCCGAACTAGCCGGCCGGACGCCTTTTGAACCGTCCGGTTCCGGCGGCCGGACGGGCTAAAAGCCGTCCGGTTTCGTCGGCCGGACATTTTTTTTTTTTACTTTTTAGAAAAAAAATGTCAGGGACAAAATTGTCCAAGAAAACGGTATGTAGTAATAGGAGGCGGTGAATAGTAAATGAGGTATGAAACTAGAGGTTAAACCATCACATCATCCACTAATTTGAAATTGATGTCCTTTAAAATAATTTGAAATTGATGCTTGTACATTTAACCCAACATTATACAATTAAACATTTTGCAAGGTAATATTTTTTATGCCGTTTTTTCTCCCTCAATTGCATTGGCTTATTTTAGGAGAAATAAACATTTTTTTATGTTAAAAAAAAAAGAAGAAAGAAAAACAAAATAAAGAAACAGCAACATAAAATAAAAGTATAGCGCGCCTATGCTCGCATATACCAACTCAATGACACTGACAAATCTCTCTCCGCCGTCGCCGGCCGGAATTAAGTAAACTCCGGCAGAAAAACGGTGCTACGCGGCTGAATCGAATCCCCTCTGCCTCGCGGCACTCCCGTCGTCCGGAAGAGAGTCCGCCCTACCTCCGGCGGCGAATCGATCCAAGGCGGCGGCGGAAGGCGCGAAATCGGACCGGGTCCGGCGGTGGATGGATACATCGGCGGCGGTGTCCACGGCGAGGAGGTGGTGGTAGCCGCTCCGCGCGGCGGAGGTATCCGCGAGACAAAAATAGGTGCTCGGCTTCTGCTTCTTGGCGGCGCGGACGAGAAACGGGATCAGGCCTTCCATTTTCCGGCGCCGGGACTCCTTTCTTTTTTCTTTTCGTTTTTTGAATTTTAATTAAGCAATTAATTGGGGGGATTTGGGAGCGTTTTATACGGTGGGTGTAGTGGGCCAAGCACAGGCCAGAATGACATTTTTACCCTTCTGTAGGGAATATTTTTACTTTGCGTAGCTGTAGAGTGAGTTTTTGTCAATTGGTGTTGGGGATAAAGGTCAAAAAAGGAACATGCGACTTTGATAATGTGTGCCCATAGATAAGCTGTGCCTGCATTTTTATCATGAAAACCAGTTAGGAGTTATTGGTTGTTACATATAATTTTTCGCATACCGTCGAATTAATATATTGTTTGTTAATTTGATGAAAAAATAATTGTACTGACCGATATAACCGAAAGAACTATATGCTTACCTTTCTCTAATAAAGAATAAAAGAAAATTAAATGAGTATTCCAAAAATGAATAAAGTGCAAGAGATATTATTGCATTTCTTTTTTTTTTTTTCCCTAAAAGATTCTATAAGCAAAAGCATAGTGCTAATTGTCAAGCCGTTTTCTTAGTAAACTAGCTGTGAAGTGTGCTATTTAGCAATAAAATAAATATAATTTAGAAATGGTGGGATTGATATTACTATGATGAATGATTCAAAGTCCAAAAGTATTTAATCAAAATAGAATCTCATCTTGAAAATTAAGTTCTGATGGCCCGTGTTTTTCCTACAAACAACTGTCCATTATTTTTATTTTTAAAAACAGAGAAAGTACATTAGTACCTTTTACCTCTTTCAAATTTTATCTTTCAAGATAAAATTTTGTCATAGACTTCTGTCCAGCTTGCTATATCCATTAATCCAGATCTCTCAATTAATGTATAGTTGACTATTTAATAGAACTTAAGTGTTGATTATTCTGGTTATTATATGTAAATTTTCAGTGTTCTGGTAATTTTATGTGTAGAATTTGAAGATTAAGTATCAATTTATGGTGGTTAATTATAATATGTAAATTTTTAGTATTTGATTAGTTCATACGCAAAACTGTGGTTAAGAGGAGTTTATGTAGCTTTAGTTTTAATAATAATGTCTATTAAGGATTTAAAATTTATAGAATACTTGTCCAATTTAGATTAGTATTAATCATTTTTTTTAACCATTTTTAATTTTATATTCATATTTTATTCCCATTGATTTCAAGCTAACCTCATGCTTTTCAAATTTTAATCCCATGCATGACTTCAACATTTTCAGACCTTTTCTCATATAAGAATAAGCTGGACACGAACTATCGTGTCGACTAAAAGCTGCCACTCAAATCACTAGCTTTGAATTTTTATTGTTATATTTGGGCGTCGATTGGAGATAATTTGGAGATAATTTTATTGGGAGTTGATATGTGACGTGGATATAGGTTTCTAGGTTTATAGGTGTGTGATATGCGAATTGGAGATTTGTAGGTTTCAATAAACTTAGAGAGGAGATTCAGACAGTAAAATTCCCGACGATCAAATTAGTTCATAGGTGATGGGCATAAATAATTAACTATTATTGTATAAGAAAATTGTACTAAGGTTTTAACTTTGAATTGTTTCTATTTATATCTTCATGTTACATTATCAGACTTGTTATAAATGTTTTTAGCCGATTTGGATTTGTCTGTTAATGATGTTGACATGAAAATAATAATAAAATTACGTCGGCAGCGCCCTGTAGCCCCGTAGGCGCTCAAATACATCAGACGCATCAGCACAGAGCATCCGAAGGTCATTGGTGTCCATCTTCGTACTGATCTCACTTCAGGCTAAGTACCTTCCACACTGATGTCATGGCTCGCATGCGAATCCAATATTTCCACATCAGCACCGACCACGAACATGCAGCTTCCTTCGTGTCAATCTTGATGTAATACCAAGAAATAGCTTGACACATCGGTCTAAGAGAATAGCTCGGCTGCAGTCGGGCTAAGAGAACTTCCGTAAGTATATAGACAAGATGCTCGGCCAAGTAGCTCGGACACGAGTTTAAGTTGTCGAGCTGGCAGAACAGGAACAATCTGGAGGTACCGGCCTCTAAAAGCTCAGTAAAGTAGCCGACCTCGGATTACATCGAGGTCGGGTGGTCTGAGGACATGATAGACCTAAAGATGAGGTCAAGTTAGACCCTAGAACAAGGTCAGGACATCCTCGTAAAGGCCATAACAGACAGGATGGGAGGTCAGACTTACGACCTAAGGATCCCCGAACTAAAACAATAAAAAGGGGGAAGAATCCGAGTAAGAAGAAAGAATCACTCGCTGAAGGACCCTTGCCAAAATAGAGACGTGGTAAGGTAGGGAATTAGAATCCAGATGGATCTCTTACCTAACAAGAACTCTCTTCGGCCCCAAGGTGTTAAGTCCTATAAGAGGACGACAAGTTCTCTCTAATTAGACAACATACAATCCACACTTTATTATATACATTCTGTACATTCACAGTTGATCGAGTTCTGACTTGAGCGACGGAGAGTTTTCCGTCTGGACCCTCATCTCGGTGTATTGCAAGTTATCGGAAGCTCAAGAAGGAGGATCGTTCAAGGCGGAAGGGTGTTTAACCCGATCATGACCAAAGGTGACATATCAAATCTAACTTCTCAGTGTGAAAGGATTGCTGTCCAGAACTGGTGCACACGACCCTGTATGAACGTGCCCAACGACCATAAAACTGGTTACTTGGATAGGTGACCTGTCACTTGTCATCTTTGTGGTGCTACCGACCCCTATTCTCGAGAAAAGTGGGTTATACTTCCTTCATCTTTCACGGGAGGTGCTCGGATGTGATCCAAAATTATCAAGATGCAATGGCGATATGCCGAGGGTTGGCTATCCGAATTTATTTATAACATTCACTTGCAACCCAAAATGGTTGGAGATTGTTCGTTATTTGGAGCCTAAAAGTTTAGGGCCTGAGGATCTCCTAGATATTGCATGCACAGTTTTTAAAGCCATATTGAAGGAGATGATAAGAAATTTTCGTGGTAAAAAAAATCTTTAGCAATGTTACAGTAGGTGAACATCCTTCTTATACATTTTGTAGAAAAATTTTATCATTGTTTATCAACTTTTCCATTATGAGATGTCTATACTGTAATTAATTGTTAGTAACTGTTTTTCTTTTTTATTATTGTGCAGTTGTTTATACGATTGAATTTAAAAAATATGGACTCCCTCATGTTCAAATACTGCTTTTCTTATCTAGAGATAACAAGTTTCATGATCCATTTGATATACATAGAATAATATCTGACGCAATACTTGAAAGACTAACCATGTATGGTAGATGATGTGTGCACCAAAAAAATTCCAAAGAAGTTTGTGGACTCCACGAGCATCGATGAAGGGAGTTAGCCACATTATAGACACAGGGATAATGAGAGGCATATTGAAAAAAGTGGCGATATTGTCCACAATGGATTTTTCGTGCCACAAAATTGAAGTTTATCGATAAAGAATGGAGCACACATCAATGTCGAATCAATCGCGTTCAATAAAGTACTTGTTCGAGTATATTATCAAAGGGAATCATCGATTACTATCACTTTCTACAAGACCTATGAGGACGAATGTTTTGATAAATCTATCGATAATATTTCCATGTACTATGGTTGGGGTGGAAAATTCTATCCTACACCATGGGGTAGTGCCGCATGGAGTTTTTGGCCACGAATTTCACACATACCCATATAGGTGTGTGTGTGTGATTGTGTGTAAATTTGTGGCTAAAACCCCATGGGGACTATCCATAGAGTAGGATAGAATTTACCAGTTGGGGTTTGAATTGCATACAAGTAATCTACTGCTCGTAATTAGTTCATTAAAATTAAAATTCGACCTAATTATAGCAACTATAATTAGAGAAGAAAAATTAAGGGATAAAATAGACAAATAAGGAAAGGGAAATTTGCTATCGGTGTTGATCATCACCTCATATTTTCCCAGCTTTTCGCGGTTTCCTCTAAACAGTGCTTCAAATTCTGGGTCTACATTCTTGCACCTATTCTCAGTCCACAAAAAATTCACCCGTTCATCCATATACAATTAACGAAAACACCATTCATCTTCTCTGGATTGTATTTGATCATTTTCAACCCCTAATTCAGTTGAATCTTTTCTTGAACCACTTTCACAACCCCATTGTGATTCACAACGCAGAAGAGCTCTCTTTCTTTCTTCTCCCATTTTTTGTTTCTTCTTTTCTGTAAAAAAAACATTCAGTTTCTCAAAGTCCCGTTTGGGGATTTAATTTTCCGTACAACACATATTTCTCCTTTTTTTTTCTGCATTTTTGTCTCAATCCTCGTTGATTGTCAACCCCCCGGGCATTTTCAAGAACCATTGTTGGCTCTGTTTCTAGGGTTTCTTAATCCGTTCTTGCCGTGGAAAAGAACTCTGTATTTTCATCCCCAAAAAATGGCTACTTTAAAGGACGGGGCCCTCCTGAAGCTTCTAGACGACATGAAATCGGACGTGGACGACGCCGTTTTGGACGGCGAGCCGCCGAAGCCCGTCTTGCTGCAGATCAGGAGCATCATCCCCGTTCTCGAAGAAGGTGACCTGTGGCCAAACAGGGGATTTTTCCTCAAAGTCGCCGATTCAACCCATGCGTTATACGTCTCCTTGTCCGAAGAGCAAAACGAGATGATTTTGGGTAACAAATTGAAACTGGGTCAGTACATTTACGTCCAGCGATTGAGAAAATCTCATCCCGTCCCCTTGCTAGAAGGGGTGTCCCCAATTCCCGGCCGGCGAGCCTGTGAAGGCACCCCGGAAGATATTATCTTGTCTGCAGATTTCTCGAAGGTTCTAGAAGCTTCTTCAGTCGACTCGGAGGTTGAGAAAGGCGTGATCTTGGAGAAAAAGGTTTCGAAAAAACTGCCTTCTTCGAGAATAAAGACACGTGGGGGGGCATCAGATTCGGAGTCCTCCCGTAAGAAAAACGAAGGGCTGAAATACCGTTCGTCGAGTGCATCTAAGGCTCGTCCGGGAGAGATTGCTGCAGATAATAAATATGGTTTTACGGATAATGAGTTTAAGAAAATCGGGTTTAGTGATGTGGGTTTGTGGCCTAGAAGCAGGGCGAGTTCTGTTGATAACGATAGTGATGGGGACAGCGTGATTTCGTCATGTTCGTCTCATGTTTCGAAGAGAAGGAGCTGGCTAGAATCCGAGATTCTTGGAGTGAAGGAGATTTTCGACTCGACAGTTGTCAGGCATGATATCAAATTCCCTCCGAGAAGCCGTAGTGCGAATGTTAGTTTCTATTTTCATTTGTTTGTCATGTTAGGCGGTATCGGTTTAAATGTTTGTTATCTGTTGTATGAAAAAAATTAAAGGGCTCTTCGAAAAGAAAATAAGCTTCACAAGTAGGAATTTAAGATTGCATTTTGTTGTTGGCTTGTTTGAGATCAGCTCTATTTGTCGTTCAATAGTGGTGATTGTGGTTAGTAATTTGTGAATGTTGTGTTATATGTTTGTTATCTGCTGAATTAGTAATTTTAATGTCACTTGGACCAGACAAGAACTTCAAAAGGTAGGATTTAACGATAAGAAAAAGCCTCTTTTGACATGCTTGATTGTTTAGTATAGGCATTAATTGCTGGAATTTGTTCTCTTGTGCTTTAGTTGCAGTTTTTATAGTCTTTAGTTGGTTTATCAACGTTGGCAAAACAAATTCTTGTTAAATTTTTATAATTATATGTGTGGACAGGTTTCTCCAGTTCGTTCGGTTAAGTACGATAGCTCTGACGACAACTTGAGCTCGGTATCAAGAAGGAGAAGCATTGGCTCAGCAAAGAGAGTGATAAAAAGTTCGAACAAAAGCCAAGTGCCTGTTCCAAAGGCGGGTAATAACGTGCAGAATCCGAATTCTTTGTGCGGGTTGGTTTATGAACGAAAGGGGGCAGAGAGTGGAATATCATGGAGCTCACTTCCATCAAATTTGGTGAAGCTTGGCAAGGTATTGTTGTAACAGTAACTATATATCATTAGTTTATTTTGCCCAAAACAATATAATGCCAGCAACTTTCTTGAACAGTGCAAGTTTTTAAAGCAATATTTATCCAAGTAACTGGTATTCATTATATTAAGTACAAAATAAATTGTTCTCTCTCTCTCTCTCTCTCTCTCTATTTTATTATTATTTTTTTTTTTCTGCAGGAAGTGGCAAGGCAAAGAGACAATGCCCTGCTTGCTGCTTCTGATGCTCTGCAAGAAGCTTGTGCTTCAGAAAGATTACTCAACTCCTTAAGGTTGTTAATGCTTCTTCCCCTTTCTTTTNCCCCAAAAATTGAACAGGCTGTTAAATGAAATCCTTACTTCAACTCATTTTTCAGCAATTTAGCTTTCATGCTCAATTTAGACTTTTGCACATCTCTATTTTCTTTTATTCCTTTTTTTTGTTTTTAACCTTAATCTTTATTGCAGCACATTTTCCCAATTCCCTCTAGCCGAAGGCGAAGATCTCCAACCCCACGTGGACCGGTTCTTCAAACTCCAGCACGAGCTTGCCCGCACAGCCCTCATCATGCAGTCCCTCACCACCACAAGCCCATTTGGGCCCGGCCCACAACCCGAAGAAAATGACAATATTGCCCTCGAGCGCAAGAATAAGGCCATGACTTGGCTGAAATCTGCCGTGGCCCTCGACCTCTCCACCGGTGGCACCCCAAAGAAAAGAACCAGCTCGCCTTTGAAATACAGCGAAAGCTCGAAAAAATTCGGTTCGTGTGCTGAGCTGGCGATGTGTTTGCAGGAAGAGTGTAGGAAGCTTTTCTTGGGGTATGTGGAGAGGTACTTGGAGGAGGTGGAGAGGAAGATTATTGTTGAGGACGATGCTGAGGTGGCGGGAATGATGTATAAGGTGAAGATGGTTAGCGATTGGCTGGATTTGATTGGGTCGGAGGGAGGTGGGGCCCACGAGAGGGTGAGGGCCAAGATTTACGGGATCTTGCTGAGTAATGTCGAGAGGACGGCTGTGGTTTTCGAGCGCGCCAAAGGGACCTTTTGAAGGGGGGTGGTTAATTCTGTGAAGGTAAAGAAAAAAAAAAAATGTTTGTGTTTTACTGAGGTGTGTTGTGTCTAATAATGCAACCCAGGTTATTAATGGTGGTGAAATGTAAATAGTAAATAAATAAATAAAAAATAAAAAATATACACTATATGGAGTTGTTGAAAAGTGCACTGCTTATTAGTAATTCACTGATGAGCCAATGAGTACATGTATGTAGTTTATGTTGTCAATGTTTTTTTACAACTTATTACATATGATTATTTTTATTACTATTTGTTTTATTGTTATTATTATGGAAAACAAAAAAAAGGAAAAACGTTAGGACCATATGGTGTACGTAATTGGACAGTGGTGGTGACTGGCGAGCGGGGTCGCAATATGTACTGATTAAGAATACAGAAAATGTGTTTCACGTGTCTTCTAACTTCTTGGCATCTTATAGATGTATTATTGTGTTGAATGTGCTTTTGTAGCTACAATATTGATGTTGTTTGATGTTAGATACTCATAATTTTTTAAAACATTTATAATAGTGGTGTTTGATGTTAAATAATCATAAACTTTCAAATGTTTTATATAAATAGTATAAATAAAATTATAGTTAGTATTTTTTTTTTTTGAGTATTCAAACCTTAGACTAATGATGAAGGAAATGAATACAACTGAAACCTTAGACTCTAGACAACAAACCAACAAATAACAGAAAGACAAACACGGGCACAAGAGGGCAAAAATAGTTTATTTTCACATAACTTAGGTTTGAGTTGCAGTATTTACACATATTTAATATATTTAAATTATTTCATATAAATCTATTTATTTTCTTCTTTGTATAATGTGCATGCTATATTACTTTCCAAATTTTGTGATGCCTATATTATTCTCTTATGTGTTTTAGACAATAAGATTATAAACAAAACAATGACGTATATAAATTAGTTTTTAAAATTTAAAATAATATTGTTAATTCACTTAATTTTTTATTATACCTTGTCATATATTATTCCTTATTTATTTTGTCCAACTTCAACAAAATATATGAATATTTTTTGTTGTACATTTAATTATTTTATCAAACACCTATGTAGTACAAAAATATTATACTAGTTACCTTTATAATAAAATGGATCTATATAAGTTACACTCATGCAAAAGTTTAATACATTACTTTCAAAAATTGATAAGTGAATTTGAATATTATATAGTTTAGTATTCTTTCTCTAATAATATAAATATGTAATAAAAGTAAGAAATAATATTTAAATACTCATTTTGATTTTATTTTTTGACTACTTCACTTTTATTTTCTCTTTTTATTACATACTTAGATTTATTCTTTAGTTTTATTGTATAGTTAGATTATTATTAAAAAATATGTAAATGATATATCATAAAATTTGCTCATCATCTTTTTTTTTAAAAAAAAAAATTATTAACTTTTTTCATAAATATGTGAATGAATGAATAATGAATTTTGTCATAATTATGTGATAATAATTTATTAATATTATTTACAACAACAACATAGCCTTTAGTCCCAAGCAAGTCGGGGTAGGCTAGAGATGAAACCCAAGAGAAACACAAAAGGACTCGAACCAAAAGGAAGAAATAATAAAAAAAAAAAAACGAGAGAGAGAGAGAAAAAGGAGCAAAAGTCACGGTCCGGCACGTTGATAGCGAGCCTCCAAGCGCTCCTATCCACCGCTAAATCCTTGAAGATATTCCAATCCTTGGAGATATTCCAATATTAATATTATTTAATTATATTAAAAATATTAAGCAGAGTTCACTTGGATAATGAGCTAAATTAGCGAAACCCCAAAAAATCTTGTACCGTGAAACAAGAAATTCGACCTTAATTTGGTACTATTCTAAAATATTTGGCCTTGCAATAGAATTTCTCCAAATTTAACATAGGACATACCGAATCACCCAAAATGATAAATAAAATTATAAACCACCACCATGAATTTGTAGATAAAAAAAGAATAAACAATGTTAATTTTCCTCATGTTTTACAATTTCATCATTAGAGAACGCCTGTAATTCTCCGCAACAGTATTATTCAGGACAACAGAAAACAACACACAAGTGCGTGATTATAAAAGTATCGTCTTTGCTGTAAAAGTCTCTTCAAAGTCGCCACAACCCAAATCTCGCGCACTAGCACACAATCAGTGTGTCTTCAAGTGAGTTCTCTAAAGAACTCGAGATCAGTGAGTAGAAGAAACCCTTAAATCGTCTGGGCTTCGCTTTTTCTTACATTATAGGTCAATAAAGCTTAATGGGGTGTTCTAAAAGTTCAAAAGTTGCAATCTTGCTGGGGTTTTTGCTGCTAATTTCTTCAGAATTAGTGTGGGGACGATTTGTGGTGGAGAAAAACAGCTTGAGGGTAATATCTCCAGAGAGCATCAAAGGGACCCATGATAGTGCCATTGGCAACTTTGGTATTCCGCAGTACGGGGGAAGCATGTCCGGGATTGTGGTGTATCCAAAGGATAATGAGAAAGGGTGCAAAAGCTTTGATGGTACTGGGATTTCTTTCAAGGCTAAACCTGGAGCTATGCCTAATTTTGTTCTTGTTGATCGTGGAGGTACTTTTTTTTTTTGTAATGATTCTTGCACGGATCTTCCATTTTTTCTGAAAAAAACTCTTTTGGGGTTCGGAAAACTTCATACCTCTGTGCGGCTGCCTTTGAGGAGAAATAAGTAGTCTTGATGCTTGCATAGTTAATTAGCTTGTTTTGTGTTTAATTTGAAGTTGCTCACTTCATGTTAGGTTTTAGGGTTTCTTTCTCGGCTGTTTGCACATCGGAGTTCGGAATTTCGATTTGTAGCCTTTAGTTTGTTTTAATGGTATTTTTTTTTTCGTGTTTTCCCAACCAAATTGTATGTGGTTGGTGAACTCTTTGCAATTCATGATATTTTCATAGCTAATGTAGTTCACTCAAAAATTTCTAAGCTTGATATACTGTTTTACACTTGATATTTTTCAGTTTCATTCTTTCATATTTTCAATCATATTTCCCATTCAACTTAAAAAAAAAATTGTTATCATCTAATTCCCTCTCATCTTTGCTGTTTATCAAGTCTTGATATTATTCCCTATTCTTATAAGTAACATTGAATGACGGGTACTTGTCAAAGACTCAAACTTTAACTCTCACTGTATTCATTTATTTATTTACTAAAATCAATAATTTCCACTTACCTGTCTACCCCTTCTTTTCATCCCCTCCTATATATAGGCTATATCTGCCTAACATTTATCTACAGCACGAACATAGTAATGATTTCTGTTTTCTTGTATCGAGCTCTGCGCGGCTATTTACCAACTTCCCCTATTACTGCAGATTGCTTTTTCGCGCTTAAAGTATGGAATGCCCAAAACGCGGGTGCTGCAGCCGTTTTAGTGGCCGATAACCGTGATGAAAATTTGATCACAATGGACTCGCCCGAAGAGAGTGGCTCGTCTGCCGAATACATAGCCAATATCACAATCCCCTCCGCTCTCATCGACAGAAGTTTCGGAGAGAAGCTGAAGACAGCTGTCAACGGGGGCGAAATGGTCAACATAAACCTCGACTGGCGTGAAGCCGTCCCTCACCCGGACGATCGGGTCGAATACGAGCTCTGGACGAACAGCAATGACGAGTGTGGGGTCAAATGCGATATGCTGATGAAGTTTTTAAAAGATTTTAAAGGCCCTGCACAGATTCTTGAAAAGGGAGGGTACACTCAGTTCACGCCTCATTACATCACTTGGTACTGCCCGAAAGCTTTCACGATGAGCAAGCAGTGTAAATCTCAGTGCCTTAACCATGGAAGGTACTGTGCGCCCGATCCAGAGGAGGATTTTAGTTCGGGTTATGATGGGAAGGATGTTGTACTTGAGAATCTGAGGCAGCTTTGTGTTTTTCGGGAGGCTAAGGAAGAAAAAAAGCCGTGGGTTTGGTGGGATTACGTTACGGATTTTCAGATTAGGTGCCCGATGAAGGAGAAGAAGTATAATGCAGAGTGTGCCGAGGGTGTTATTAAATCTTTGGGTAAATATTATTTATGGCCTGCTTGTTTACCAAGTTTTCTGTTTTTTTACTGGATTTTGTGTCAACTAGAGTTTAGTTGATAAAAAAGTTAATATGATTAGTTGTCAGTGGGATTTTAAGTTTGTTTTAAAACAGTGTTTAAAATAAAATGATTAAAATTGATTTGAGATATAAGTAGGAGATAAATGATTGGAAATGATAGGTAGTTAAAATTATGTGAGTGGATAAATAGTGAATTAAAGTTGATGCGATGTGTAAGAATGATTGAATGATATTATATTATTTAATTATATTGATAAGGATAGTGGGGTTGAGTTAATTGAGTTAGATTTTGAATTGAGATTGAATTGTTTTTTTTTAGTTTTTGGATAAACAAGCAAACGTTTCGTGTTTTAATGTTTGTTTGCATTTGGTAACAGGGCTGGACTTAAGGAAAATCGAGAGATGCATGGGGGATCCGAATGCTGATGTGGATAATCCCGTATTGAAGGAGGAGCAAGAGGCTCAGGTGAAAAATATTTTATCTGCTGTTTATCTTTTTATTTTTGCGTTCTTGATGGTTTGTAATATATCATGTAAAGTGAACTGATAAAGAGAAACTTAATTTCTGTAGATCGGGAAAGGGACGCGTGGAGATGTAACTATTTTACCGACTCTTGTCGTGAATAATCATCAATATCGAGGTGTGTTGAGTTTTTTATTTATTCGTGATTCGCATCGAGCATGGTAAATATGATTTGTCACTGATGTGACTTTTGTTTTTTTTAGGGAAATTGGAGAAAGGTGCCGTTTTGAAGGCTATATGTGCCGGTTTTGAGGAAACTACCGAGCCTGCAGTTTGTTTGGGTGATGGTATGTGTTACTTTTTTTCATATTTATTTCAATCCTTGAATACCATAAGCTCGCTACTGAAACTTTTTGGGTGCTGATGTAGAGATGAACGAGGGCATGAACAATAATGGTGGCTGCTAGGAAGAGAAGATAGCTAATATCACGGTTTGCAAGGTGGTCTAATAAAATTTGCAGTTTTTGTGTGAAATGTTATATCATTCTTACGTATTTGTTGTGCACGTTCAGGATACCTTTCAAGGAAGAGTTTATGAATGCCCTATAGTCAATGGTGTGCACTTTAAGGGAGATGGCTATAGTTCTTGTGTTGGTATGTAAATCTTAATCTCTTTAATTGTGCACAAGGTTCGAGTTACTTCGTTAGCATGACAATCTTTCAGTTAAACTATCAATTTGTCTTGCTGCACATGGTTAACTAGGATTCTAAAGATCTAACATTCTTAAGATGTTGTAAACCATCTTCCCGTGTAACTAAATAACAGTGGTTCATACACTATTCATGTTTCTCAAGCTCTACTCATATGTTTGATTATCTTCACCTGAAACTTTGCAGCACGGATGTCATTATAGGTATCATGTCTGCTCTTTCTAGACTCTGGAGTCATTGTACAATATTTGTGGCAATATCATGGCTGTAGATACCGTCATGTTATATTGCCTACCATTATTTTTTTACAAGATCATTAGACATAGGGCACTATACAGGATGACTTCCGATTTTGTTGAAGCTGAAACTAGCGGTGCTATTGGACTGATAAGCAAATGTATTCTACCTATTAATCCAACTGATCCTGAATGTTTTCATGTGTGAGTGTACTTTGTACAAGCTTTCATTGCCAGTCATAATAATTTTGTTTTCAATCTTTTCATTGGTCTATTTGCTTTCACTTCCACTGAGTTCCTTTTGTGGTGGGGTTTGTTCTCTTGAATTATTTCAAGAGAACAATCGAATCCTTCTAGCGGCGTTCAGATGGAGTTGATCCAAATGGAGATCCTTCGATATAATCTCTCGCACACGCTGTCACACAACTGTACGAGAAAAAACCCGTACATAGAANTTTTTTTTTTTTTTTTTATCATTTCTTTTCAAAACACAGATATTGATGAATGCAAGGAGATGAAAGTCTGCCAATGTCCTGAATGCAGCTGCAAGAATACCTGGGGCAGTTATGACTGTACTTGTAGTGGGGACCTTTTATATATGAGAGATCATGATACCTGCATAAGTTAGTTCTCGTTAAAAATAAAAAATAAAAATTGTTGCTTATTAATTTATTTATCATTCTATTTGAGCTATATGTATCCTAATATACTATTTGTTGCTACTATTTTCTTTCATCAAAGGTAAGAGGACTACTGAAGTGAAGTCTTCTTGGACAGCCGTTTGGATTATTCTGATCGGGTTAGCTATGGCAAGTGGTGGAGCATATCTTATATACAAATATAGGTTGAGGGTAAGTTTCAAAACTGATATTGGTTTTCGGTTTTAGCATTGCAAGTACCTATTTTAGGGTTAATTACTGAACTGACCCTAAGTTTAACTTAATTGCAGAAGAACGCCAGTTTATCTTATGAAATAAAAACTACCCAGTTTATAGTTGTTTTCCTTCTACAAAAAATACATAACCACAAGAGGCGTTCATAGTACTTTTAAGGGGTGTTTGTAATTTCGGAAGTTAATCGGAGGATTTTGTAATTAGTCTAGACATCAGGATAACTTGTATAAATATCCCATTTTGTTGGGTACTTGGGTTAATTCTTAAATGTCCCATCTTGATCAACTTTGATTGCTGAAATTAAAATTTTCATAAAGCTTGTGATTCACTATGATTTATATCCTTTTTTTTTCTTCAGTCGTACATGGATTCAGAGATCAGAGCAATTATGGCACAATACATGCCTCTCGACAGTCAAAATGAAGTCCCAAATCATGTAAATGATGAGCGTGCTTGAAAAACGATGACCAATCAATCTATCATAATCCTCTCATGTGTCCAGCAAAATATTCTGAAAGGTAGAGAAATATTATATCTATTCTTGAATGATTTTGTTGGATAATGGTTTGATACGCGATTTTTCTGCTTGTCTTTAGTTATGAAACATGTATGAGTCAGAATTCGATTAAGGTTCACTTGAGCAAAAAAATGAAAATAAAAATTAGGTCGAAAAACATGTACATTGTATAATATGACAGGTATATGTGTCCCCTAATTTAATCGAGAGAGCATGTAATAATGTGCATTCTTTTATCCTTGTAATGTACTCTCGTGTCGTGGTTGCATGTTTTTTTGAGGGTCAACATCATTAGTTATAGATTTGTTTAAGCTTTTGGTTGGTTCTCATTGAATGCTGCTGTTAAAAATTGTTCTACGATGTTTAATGGTTGTCATTATATATATATGTGGATGCCATTTAAAAATCCATGATCTCATGATTTACTGGCACAATTGATGCTTTGAATGGATCTGCTGAAAAGATTATATAAATGCACAAAAACAAATGGAAATCCTTAGTTTCGAATTTTTGCTTCGAATTTTTACAGTATAGAACAACTGGAAACAATGATCGATAGTTTGTACCGAATTTCTTGATTTTGCATTTTTTTTTTTTCTGAATTTTTACTGTCGATTTTTTTTGTCTGTTTTCGTGCTTATACGCTGCATGGGCTGACGAGTTCAGTCGAACTTCTTGCTATCGATTTTGTTGTTTGCTGGGATGATATATGCTTGCACCGTGTGACGATTTTATTTTATTTTATTTTATTTTTTGTATGGTGAGATTTTGATACATTTGTGTTGGGTTATATTATTAGGGGTGAATTTTTTTCATATAATTGTAGAGGAATTCTATTGTTAGTAAGTATGAAATGTTGATCTGATGTGAAGGTGAATATTACATGATAAATCTTATATGTGAAAGGGAAAATAAAATACAGTAAGGAATAAAATTATCAAGAGGAGGAATCTTCATGTGAGGAGGTTATGCATTTCTGTACTAATTTAAAATCGGGGTTGATTGGATCTATTCTGATTTCGATCATTAATATCTAATTTTTGTGACCACACGCCTATTTTAAGTTTGTATTCAGTTTGTTGATTCGAATACGTATTGGTTGTATTGTTGAATTCAATAGTTTCCTTGAACATACTTTTTAACCTGTTTGTAACACAATTTCATTATTATCACAAGTTTATATTTCTTAGATCTTTTGTTGGATGGATTATACATTCATACTCTCTTCCAAGATGAAATTTACATACTTCAATACTTAAATGCTACATTTTAAAATATAATATAATCAAAAGCGTGACATTTCAAAATATAAGTAAACATTTTGTATATGAAAATTGAACATGTAACGATTAGGCAATCTCACAGTCATATCAGCAATTGTTTGCTTGCATAGAAATAGAACAAAAAGATAGGATTTCAAATCTTATGCTGGATTAAATTCGATCTGTAATTTATTTATTTATTTTTATTTTTTGGAGTTTCAATTGGGGTTCATATTCAAATATGGATCCCTTGATGTATAGACAGTTTTACCCATGTTTGATATGAATATGAATAAAAATATTAATTAAATCACAATTTTTTGTATGAGTTAGCTTCACCAGATGAGTTGATTCATCATATATGTACTTTAAATGTATATTAATATTATGGCATGTCATACTATTGTTTATGTTATTTCTTAGAGTGACATTTCAATTATAAGTATTCATATTTTCTGAATAAGTGTGAGTATCTAATCGATAAGTTTGCATAGACCTTGTTTGGCGATCAGCGGATAGCGGATAGCTGATTGTATCAGCGGATAGTGGATAGCGGATTATATTAGCTGATTTGACCAGCGGATTGCATTAACGGTTTTTAAATAAATGTTTGGTAAATAACTGAAAGCTTATAGCTGTTTGACATTACAAAACGACGAATAAAGATATTTTATTATTTAGGGTGTATTCTTTTAATAATAATATATTAAACCATTTAATATTCTTTAGTTGGTAACTTATAAATATATTATTTTTTTTCTTTAAATTTCCTAAAACTTGATGAAGAAGTTATGAATTTTACATTTTTCTAGATAAATTAATCATATGGATGACATATTATTATTTATTAGCACCATAAACTAATATAGATTTTAAAATAAATAATACAAATTAAAAAGTTCCAACTAAAAAGTTTTTTTGTGAATCCTCTATCCCCAAAAAGCTCCTCTAATGAGCTATTTCTAAATTAGAGTTTTGGGCCCAAAAAGCTTATCAAATAAGCTATTTACCAAACAGACTCAATAGCGGATTTGACGGGTCAAACCTTTCAATTAAGTTCAATCCGCTAATTTACCTTCAATCCGCTATCTACCAAACGAGACCATAGTATTATCTACTAATATATTACTTGTGAAGTTTGGTAACCAAATTAACAATTTTAGTTGGGTATTTTGGTAACCGAGTAAACAATTTCATATACTTATTATTGAAATTCGACGGCGTGCCTTGCCCCGCCGTACGCGGAGCTGCCGGCGGTTGGAAGGCCTCTGTTGGCGGGGAACGGAGGGTCGCCGGAGACGATTTTGCAGATTTCCAATCGTTCCCTGATCTCACGCCGGCGACCGGGACTATTCTTCCATCGTAGGCGACGAAAATGGCGGAGTGAGCGCCGTTAACGGAAGCTTGAGGAGACTACGTTGTCTGGCGGAGATGCGGCGGCGATATGGTCGGAGTCACTGCCTGAGATTTTGTGCGTGAGTGTGTGTGTGTGGTTTACGGCTGTGTGTGCTCTGCAGATAATGGCAACCTCACCGGAGATTTTGGACGTCGACGGCGACGGCTACTGAGAGGACGAAGATGGCGGCTACTGAGATGACGAAGACGGCGACGGCTACGGCTACGCTTTCCCGGCGTCCATGTCGGCGGCCATATTCTGGAACCATGAGGACGAAGATGGCGGCGGGAATGGCGGATCTGGAGGAAGACGGCGGCGATAGCGGCGGGAATGGCGGATCTGGAGGAAGACGGCGGCAGATATGGCGGACTGAAGGTGAGCATCGATTCAATATGTGTACAGTGAGTGTGTGTATGTGGGACTTTGTGTGAGAGAGAGACATATTATAAGAGAGAGAGAGATTGGTGAGGTGAGCGGTTTGACCCACGTGATTGTTGGAGAGTTAGGTGTTTGTGGGCCCCATTATTTGTATGTTAAAATTACTACATTACCATTAATGAAGTATAATTTTGACTTTTTTTCATCCATCAGATCATCCGATTTAATGACTGCAATTTATTCTTATTTAGATGGAATCTTCCCTTCTAAGCTGGACAGTTACGTATTTTGTCCGTCGGTCTCCCGTTTATTAAGATGCAGAATGAGAAGGAAAACAAAATTGGCCCAACAAAGGCCCAAAAATAAAAAACAATACGCATAGGTCAACCGTTTATTAAAATGTAGAGAGATGGATGGAGATAAGAATAGCGCAACCTTTGGTTTTTCCTTTTTTTTTTTAATGTGTTTCGATCGCCTCTGATGATTGTTTTTACAAGAGGCTTTCCGCTTCTTCGGATAAAGGCGGAGATCACTGATTTTTAATTCCTTTCTTTGGTTGTAAATTATACCGAAAATCGGCCTCTTCATAAGGAGAAAGTCAAAATAAAATTGTTTACAATTCAAAGATGGAGATAATAAATCAATCCTCTGTCTTACGTAGATGGAGATGATAAATCTCTTTTCCAACGAAAAGCCCTCTTGCAAGGGTCCTAGCAAGGGCTTCCAAGAGGCACAAGAGGGTAACGAAATTGAATACAATTCGAAGACCGAAAAGGGCTTGCAAGAGGTACGTAATTTTAGGAATTCTAACCGTACGTAATTTTAGGAATTCTAACCGTTTTCAAATGTTGGATTTATTTTCTTTTTTCTTGATTGAAATCATTTAATTATTTTTTATATTGNGAGCTGAGTTGCTCATATGAATATAAGATTGGTACTTTTCTTAAGATTGATACTTCATATTGACTATAATAACTATTGTTCAAAATTTTAAATTGTTCCAAAATTTGTTTATATTTAGATATCTTCTCAAATATTTTAATTTTACAAATCTTTGAGTAGAAGGAAAAAAATCACTCAATTTTATCACAAATTTCAAAACATGGAGATTATTATATATTGAAGGAGATGAGCAAAATCTTGCTCCAACGCTGGGCATGCTTCTTTCTATAATTGTATAAACATGTTTTGAGGTATTTAATTATTTATTTGGTTAAATAATTTTGTAAATTAACCTAAAATTATATTATATCTGACTAGTGTGTTATAATATAAATTAAATATATAAGTAACAATAATTATGATTTATCTATTATTTTTAAATTAAACCGAGTTGGACACAGTCCGACCGGATGGACCGAGAATCGGTTTATAAGTCTAGTTCGCTTAAATAAAATATTTGCTATCAAATCCGTCAACACTAGTCGGTTAGACTGGTAAGATCGATACGATATTTTAAATAAATTTTGTTACATTTAAAATTATTTTAAGTAAAATTATACATTTAAATAAAATAGAGATTTATAAATTGTTTGTCAATTAGTTTAAACATTTGAATAAATTGTTTAGATATTTAAGTAACACATTTTATTTAAATTTATTACAAAAAGTACTATATATATTAAAATGTTTATAAATTAAAATCTGAACAAACCACAAATGATTTAATAGTATAACTTGATCTTTTCGATGACGGTTCGATTCTGAAAATCACTGTACATTAATAAAAATTATAATAAAATATTATTTTATTCACATAAATATTAATAAAATGATATATAAATATTCATTAATCATTAAACATGTTGTCATAAAAGTATTGTTAATATGATTATTTGAAGTTTGGACAATTGGACTACATCACATTCAATGATTCACGTAATAAATTAATTTCAATATTAAAATTTATATTTAGGTTCAATAATCAATATAGTATGGTCAAACTGATACATAATTTAGTCATCTAGGACCATCAAAGTTGTGTCAAGTTTTTTTAATATTTTAAATATCACCTAAAAGTAATTCAATCAACCTGGACAGTACCGTAATCCAATCACCCGATTGATCCAAAGAAATTTTCTTATTTTCTTTAAATATATTTAATTTTATTAAATAAAAAAATATTTTATGATTCATATAATAAATTTTTAAACCAAATGATAGTATATTAAGATTATATATTATATATCTAATGATGAATTAATTATTTTTACTTTATGTGTATTAATAAAAAAATAAACATAGTAACAAATTTGATAAAATAATACCAATTAATAACATAACTAAATCTGCTTTTCATTGGTTATTATTATAGGCTGAAATGTAAAATATTAATTCAAGATTTTTAGTGTGTGTATAGAAAAAATAATAAATTAAGCTTTCAAGAAAATCCATATAAAATCAGATTTCTATCATAAAAATAGTGATACCATTGAAAAGGGATTATTTAAAAATAAATATGTGTACAACAAATGTCTTAGCCATATTCCTGTTAAAAAAGAAAAGTTTTCGAAATTTATGTGGTCAGTTGAATCTTTCCCGATTATGTGATTATTAGTGTAACAAACTAACCATTGCATTTAATGTTGTCCTTGTTCTTAAATAAAAATGCCATTAATGGAAAGTAATTAATGATGAATGAATTTGACCATATAGTTGACCTGCTATTTTTGAAAAATGTTAATTCTCATTATATATATATAGATTATGAAAATAATTAAACATGTGTGCATAATGTATTTATCTTAATTATATTTTGATATTATAATGAGAATAAAATGAGAGTATTCAATGTGGAGTAAACCGTAGCTCACAAAATTGAAAAATCTAGAACTAGTGGATATAACGCACGGGCTATATTAAATAATAATTAAAAATTAAAGATTAATGAAAATAATATTAACTAATAATTATAAATTAAAGATGTGAGTTACTAATATTAAATAATAATTATAAATTAATGTTGTGGGATTAACATGTAATATAATGTAATGTATATTAATTTATTGTAGACAATATAAAATTATCTTGCATAAAATAACATAAAAAATGTATTTTTCAAATATTAAAAACACCTAAAATATTATATAACTATTATACTAACCCCTGTAAAATTATCTAAAATTTTCTATGTGTTTAAAAATATTAAAAACACCTAAAATATTATATAACCTATGTAAAAGTATCTAAATTTTTTCTATAGTATCTAAATTTTTATATAACCTATAATTTTTCAAAACTATTATGTAATCAAGACATGTCTAAAAATATTTAAATTTTAACATCTTTATAAAATATGTGTAAAAAAATTGTGTAAATTTAAAATCATCTAAAACATTATAAGCCTAAATAAAGAATCATCCACTCTAAATCTTCTGAGAATATTTGAGAAGATTTATATCGTATATAAAAAATAAATATTTAAATGATATCATTTGTGTGAAAAATTGAGTACAATAGATTTCACCTGCTTGATTTATCAATTTTAAAAATACAAATTAATATTAATGCAAACGAAATATATATAACAAATAAAATGAGATTTTATATCTAAGGGAGATTAAAGACAAATAAAAAACTGAAACTCGCATGATTTATCAATTTTAAAAATACAAATTGATATTAATGCAAACGAAATATATATAACAAATAAAATGGGATTATATAACTGAGATTAAAGACAAAAATTAAGGACTAAAATTCAAGACTGTATATGTTGTATGTATGTACTATTTTTAGCGGGATTCTCCATAAATGTGACAATTCTCTTTATGTACATTAAAAGCACATAAAATATTATATAACATATGTAAAAAGTATCTAAAATATTCTATATTATTTTTTCAGTGTGTGAAGTCACCTAAATTTTTTCTAAGCTAAACATGTCTAAAAATACTTACATTAGTGAATTACTTTTTTCAAAAAACATTAGTGTAGATAAGGGAATTAGTTTCTTTCAAAAATTTGTTAACGTGGATAAAGGATGAGATTTTATAAGCTTGCATTGTGAGATTTTGTAAGCTTGCATTGACTTATCAATTTAACAAATGCAAATTAACACACGCATTTAAGAAATTGAATTTTAAATTGAAGTAGAGGTAATCATCACATTTTAAACTTGTTGATTATTGAATTCTTAATGGGTTATCGTGTGTTTGCTTGACAGTGTGTTGAGAGATTCCATGGTGATAATCTTATAAGTCGATTACCCGATGACATTCTCCTTATTATCCTATCTTTCCTCCCATTGAAAGAAGCTGGGCGAACAAGTGTTCTTTCTTCTCGTTGGAGAAACCTGTGGAGTTACATCTTACATCTCAACTTTGATGACCGTAGCTCGATGGAGAAGATTATCGAGGACCCAAATTTTCGCAGTGTTGAGAGGGAAAAGTATGTAAAGTGGGTGGATTCGGTTCTCCAATCACACCGAGGGTCCACCGTGAAAGAATTACGAATATGCTTTAGTTTAGTCAAATCAGCCACAAAGTCAGTTACGAAGTGGCTTGAATTTGCTTTTGAGAGGCACACCGAAAAGTTGGAGTTGAACCTTTCAGATGGTGACTGTAGTCATGTCCCAGATGAAAGGTACGTGTTTCCGCAAGAGTTATGCAGGTCAGACGGTCCTTACAAATCTAGTAGACTTTTCAACTGCAAGTCCATAAAAATGTTGTCCTTGGGCTGTATTAATATCTCTGGTGAAACTATTGAGTTTCTCTTACGTGGCTGCCCATTGCTGGAGCAGTTAGTTGTCCGTGCCTCTACTAAATTGACACGTCTTGAAGTTTGTGGACCATCCCTTGTATTAAAGCATTTGGAGATATGGATGTGCAGTTATTTAAAATCCTTAAGAATTTCTGCTCCGAATCTAACTTCACTTATGCTGTATAAAATACAAGGCCTCTTACTTGAGGATGTTCCAATGCTTACTAGTGTTAGTGTGACCTTTGTGGAGCTTACTTCTTTGTATGTAGAGAGATTAATTCCTACATTGGTTTGCTGTCTTTCCCAATTGGAGATTCTCACCTTGAACATTTGTTGGCAGAAGGCAAGGTGTCTTTCTGCATTGGTTTAATTTTCACTTAATGGAGCTTAGTGATTGTAAAGTAAATATAAAACTTGATATCGGACCCCTATTGTTGATTTGACAATCATCACGTGGTTAAATTTGGTGGGTCATATAATACACAAATGATTGTCAAATCACCAGTACTAACATGGAATTATTTGGAAAATAGTATTTATTGGAAGTTTTTCTAAAAGAAAAAAAAACTTTATTTATTTGTTATTGCAGGAGCTTCTATCGATGCTCAAATTCCCCATGATGCCTAAACTTAAGAAGTTGGTCATCATTGAAGTTTTACGTGGTGTGGACTCGAGTCTTCTTGGCCTAGCTAATTTTATCAGTGCATCTCCCAACCTGCGAGAATTTGAGATACAGGTTGGTCTTTGTAAATATTATCCCTGCTATCTCGTCATCATTGAATGGCTTTGCTACCTGTATTTGTTGTCTTATATTATTTACAGGTGTTAACTTAGGGCGTGCTTGTTTATGAAATAATTTGCTCACATTTATTCCATACTCTAAACTCAACTCAACTGTAACTCAACTTCACTATCCTTAATATTATTTAAATACAACAACAACAACAACAACATACCCAGTATATTCCCAACAAGTTGGGGTTTGGGGGGTCAGTTGTACGCAGACCTTGCCCTTGTAATTATATAAGGAGGCTGTTTCCGTAACGACCCAAGGTGCATTGCGCCGTTTGATTTTTATTTTTTTTCTAGAAACTCCACTAATAGAAGAAGCACTAGAATTTAATTGAGCCATTTTGATCTAGTCCATTATTAGCATTATGCCAGGAGAATTGTCAACAATGACTCTTCCCTCCATTTGCAATGGACAAACCTTAATATTATTTAAATAATTAAATATTATAAACCAATCATTCCTACATATCACATCAACTTTAATTCACTATTCATCAACCCACATAATTTTAACTCACATAATTTTAACTGCCTATTATTTTCAGTTATTTTCAATCATTTATCTCCTACTTTTACATTAAATCAATAATAATCATTTTATTTTAATACATTATTAAAATTCCACTAACAACTAACCATACCACATTTTTCAAATTTAATCCTAGTTAATCAAAATAACTCATTTTGAGCAAATTATTTCATAAACAAGCATGCCCTTAGTATATGAACTTATTTTATTTTCACTTTGTATGAGCAGCAAAGGTGGACTAAAGCTGAAAGGTCAAACAACGAAATTCAGAAGGGATTGAAGCACTTCCCACTGCACCAGCATCTGAATGTTTTTCGGTTTTTAGGTTATTATGCTTGCCCGAGTGACGTTGAATTAGTGAACTACTTGTTGGAGAACTGTGTCGCGCTTAAGGAAATCATTGTTGATACCCAAACTCCACTACGTTCGGCCTACGAGCCACTTGATCCTGAACAATTAGAATTGGCTGAAATAGCAAAGGTTTATGCCAAACAGCAGCTGGAGCCGCTAGTACCTAACCACATTAGGTTATTTTTGTGCTAACCATTTTTGTGTTTAATACTCATGTTTTCTTGGTAATTTATATTAGAACCCGGTGTGATTTATTCTCGTCTTGTGTTGTTGTGACTTGTATTGTTTTTTAGTATTATGGAATGATACTTTGCTTTGTTGTAGTATCTTGCATTTGAAATATTTGTGGCATCAGCTTATTTGGGGTTGTGAGGTTGTGATCCATTCCTTCGCTGTTCTTGCTCGTGTAAAATTTTTAGAAAGGTTTTGTTTACTTCATTTTTCTTGTTCGTGTGCGATTTTTAAATTAGGATAGTTTACATTGAGTTTGGCCATAAACCAAAAGCCAAATTGTTCCAACTTTTTGGCGAATTACAAAATTAAATGAATTTTGTTTTCATAATAGAAAATGATATATTTTTTTGTTCTTCTTCTTCTTCNATGAAATTATTTAAACTTATTTTAACACCTCTTGTTAAGCCGAATTACGAGACTTAATCCAAAACTTGATTTTATTGATCTTCAAGAGAGCGTTATACTAACTAGATTCGACAACCAACCTGCGTTGTTATCAAGAGTTTACATTATCCAATGATAAAAATTAGGCAATCAATGTTTGAATTGCATCTTACCCAACAAACTTCAAATGTCTTTTCCTAATGAACACCTGGACCGCAGGGCCAACGACATTCCCATTCTTCTTGAAGAAGAGCATTTAGGACATCCAAACCCGGTGCTTTTAATGATCCCATGGTCTTCGAAAATCTCCTCGTTAGTGATATCTTGCTCCAAGGCCTTCATCACATCCACGTCGCAGGGTGAGAATAAATTAGCTAAAGAACTCCGTCGCTAGTGCCCGTAGTGACTCTTGATCCGTAACCTGATGACCCTCAGCATCCGTCAACTCAAGAATTTTGGTACGTCGTCTTCGATATTTAAGTTGTCTGTGGTAGTATGACGTGTTTCGATCCCCCAAGTAGGTCCATTCCCTAGTAGCTTTTTGAAGTAGCAATAACTCTTCTTGCACAATGACTTCCTCCAGTTCGTGTCGAAGCTGTTTTTCAAGGGCCACCAATCGGTTGTTAACGTAAGATTGTCGACTTCTCTGAATACCACCTAACCGGGCCAACAATCGTTTTTTCCAACGAAAAATATTTCCGAACACTCTGAAGTTCCACTCCTTTGCCGCACCAGCAAATTTGTCAGCCGCTTCAAGGAAACCAAGGGATGGATGCCACACATCTTGCAACATGGAGGTGAACTCCGGATGAAGTAACCAAGCTGCTTAGAACCTAAATGGTTTAACTTCGCTCGGCGGCTGCCACTGTCCACCAAATCCTACCATAAGAGGTGAGTGGTCGGATTTGAACCTCGGAAGGAGGCGAACCCGGCTCATATTTCTCTATCCACCTCATATTGGCAATGAAGCGGTCAATTTCTCTGCCACTCTACAATGTTGGCTATCCCGGACTCAGGTGAATAGATGTACGTCCGTAGACACCTCCTAAAGGCTGTTGTTGAATATCCAATCGGCAAACTCCATACTTAAATTACAATCTAGCGGAACCCCCCAGTTTCTCGGAACAACGGAGGAAGCAATTAAAATCTCCCCCGATTAGCCATAGCTCCTATACTCTGGCTTCCAGGCCTTCCAACTCAGGCCACAACTTCTTTCGAAGCTCTCGACATTTTTGGTCGCCCGGACATGGACCATTTGCCGAGAGTAAAACAGAACGTCTATTCTAACCTCTTCCGTCCACAAGATCTATATACCCCCCGAGAACCCTGGGACTTCCACGCGAAACGAGTTCTCAAACTTGTTGAACCGCACAAAGTTGTCTGCGTTCCCCCACAAATACGTGGTTCAAAAATAGCCATAACATCTGGTTTATACATGAAAAATTTACTAAGAGCATCTACAATGCTTTGGGTTCAACCACAAAAAATTGGATGCCACCTAGGAAATAGACCTAGTCTAGAAAAATGTATTCTCCAATGCAAACAAAAGTAGACTCGGTCCTGCTGATGTGGCAGCCAGAAAAGGAGACCCGGTTTACACTTGGGTCTATTTTAGACCCAAATTAGAGACCTAGTCTCTTTGCATTGGAGTGGATTTAATCAATTTAACATAGTTTTATCCATGCCATTTAAGACTTGAGTTTATTTACATGTCACATAGGCAAGACTAGACCTAATGCATTGTAGATGCTCTAAGCAAACCATTTTTCTAAAATGTTTAGAGTGTTTTCCTATTGCGCATGAAGCGAGTGTGTGGCAGCTTTTCACTGTAGCTACTAAAGTTGATTTAAAAATAAAATCTTTAGGATGATGAAGTATTGATGAATGTTGGATTAAAAAAAAAAATATTTCTTGGATTGCATCGACTGGTGAACTGGCTCAGAGGGGGAACGAAGAAGAAGTTCAATAAAAATAAAATATAACTAGTGGTATTCAAAAAAATTTAGAAAATAATAAGAAATCTCCGAATATCCGAACCGAACCAAACCGAGCCGAACCGTTCTGATAGTCTTGAAAACCGAACTGAACCGAACCGAAAAATAAAAATCTCCGAACCTGACCGAACTGATTTTCGCTACGGTTCTGGAGATCGAATTTTAGTGATCTCCGAACTTTGGTACGGTTCTGGAGATTTATTTATCAATCTCCGAACCCACCCATGCTCACCCCTGTCAAGCTACAAGCACCCAATGATAAATCCGAACGAGGTTAAATCCGAAATGGATTTCCTCTCAAACCCTTTTTCATTAAACCATGCTGCTACTCATCTTTGTTTGCAGTGATAGTTTTGTACAATTTGTTTCTCTTATCTACTTCCTCAAGATATTTTCTATAGATTGGAGAATACGACGCGCTTGGGCAAACCCTCGAAAAATTGGATATTGTTTTCGTCGATGCCCCTTATCCGTGCTTGTGCAAATCCGATGTCGAGGGGATTTTTGATCCTTCTTATTACAGCGGTTTCAGTGGTTTCGGGAGATGACTGCAAGTTGTTTGGGAATCTGCTCAATGATAATCTTCAGAGAGAGGTCGGGCCTGAGTTCATGGAGAAGCTCGAAAAGACACGAGTCCTACCTCAGGTTTCTGGCTTTTTGTTTTTTTTATTTTTGTTTGTTTTGGATTATTGTCCGTAGGATCTCGACTTATTTTTTGTGCCATATCGTGGACACCTTTTGGGTTTTTTGTTTTCGTTTTTCTCGATTGTTGGGTATGATTTTCAAGCTGAACTGTGATCGTTGCTGGTGTTGTGTGNTAATTTACTGTGCCCCATCGTGTGTTTCTCATAGCTTTGTTTGGTGGTGTTGTTCTGAATGAGCGTCTCAAACAAAATCACCCACTCAAGCGACCTAACACATCCACGTGGTCGATTTCCGCCTGAAACAGGGGATGCATTAGCCCGTTCTCAGCCCAATAACAAAGACGCTTCGGAGCAGGTGGGTCGTAGATCGGGACCAAAAATGCACACTCTGTTATACTTGATAGTGATTTCTGAAATTTTTTGAGTCATCGATCATAATCATAGATATGTGTTGTAATCAGTGGCGTGGTGTTTTAAATCGAAGCCTTGAGGGTGTGATTATCGTGTTCGAACACAGTGGGCGTGTGATTTTTTGTGGAAAAATCAATGCCAGGGAGCCCAAAACTGTGTAGGAATTGTTCGGCGACTGATGGAGTCGAAGGTGTGTGTGTGTGGATTTTGCTCTTTTTGCGTAGATCAATGGTTTTGTTGTGTTTGCCTTTTATTTTAATGTTGTTTTTCCCTTTTTGTATTGGGTTTCAGAATTTAATCGCAATGTGTTTTTGTGGTTCTTTTTTCTGTGTTGGTGGAATATAAGCGACGATCTCTTGATGGGTTGTCTTGTTGTTGATTGTGTTCTTTGTTTTGTTGTCTTGTTGTTGATCGTGGTTCTTCTACTAACAATGCATAAATATCTCTATAAAATAACTAACTGCGTCGTTAAAATTGCTGGTATGCCTTTTGCCAATTAAGTTTAATAAAATAAATTACTTAATTTATTAAAAATATTGTTGCAAGAATGAAATAAAACATACAACAAATGAGCTCATAATGTAATTATTTTTTGCCGATTAAGTTTTGTAAAATAAATAAACTAATTGATTAAATATATCGTTGCTAGAATGGGAAATGCTACATGTACATAATATTGTACATAAGGTGTACATAACACTCAAATTGAGTGGGACCTACCAAAAATAAAAAATTAAGTGGACCCCACTCCATGTGAGTGTTATGTACATTTCTATGTACATTTATTATGTACATGTAGCATTTTTCTTGCAAATTCATCTTAATTCATTTGGCAAAACGTCTACTTTATTCAAACACCTAAGAAATATTCTAGCCAAACATATAGTGAAACTTCACTGTTGTATTCTCTTTATATTTTTCTACTAACCTTGCATGAATATCTTTGCAAAATAACCAATCGTGTAATTAAAATTGTTGATTATTTTTTTATTATTGTATGAACTACTATATTACTCTCTATATATAGAGAAATTGATACCTACCCCATAGATGTATCGCCCTACGGAGGGGAATGAATTTCATCTTTAAATAAAATTTGACTTTTCAAAATCTCTATTGCATTACTTTTCCCGAGATTATTTTTTGAAATCACCACACATTACCTAAAAGTACATACTCTAAAATAATTGCACATATGTTCAAGCACAATACACGTATGAAATTATAAATATTCCTATAAGAAGTGCCAACTTCATTCAAACATTCAAAAATGTTTTGATCAGGCTCCAACGTTTCCTTTTCAATGTCATTTATTTGGAAGATAGACAACTATATAATCTATTGTTTGTAGATCATTGACCATTTAGTTCTTGCAATGATTTTAGAATTATTTATCTGAATATCTTTCACATTCGTTTGGAATTTTTGTAATATTTATGTGTCCAATAACTCTTTTAATGCTTTTATCGTCCAACGTTATGCATCATACATAATGCTCATAAAATTCAAGATAAAGATCATTTCTTGATTCGTTTTATAAAACCCTAAATTGATTGAAATTTGGGGTTTTAAAAGATGGATTTATTAAATCCGTTTTTAATACATAAAATATCTATGCATTTTTAATCCGTTTTATAAAACCCTAAATTGATTGAAATTTGGGGTTTTAAAAAACGGATTTATTAAATCCGTTTTTAATACATAAAATATCTATGCATTATTAAATTATTAAAAAGAAATAAATATTTTTTAAATTATTCAAAATTAAATATAAAACGTATAATGAAAATACGTTTTTCTAATAAAATGTTATTAGAAAAGCGGATTTAAAAAATACGTCCTTTTTATTTTTTTCCACTCATTTTGTTTTTATTTTTCTTCACTTATTTTTTTTTTATTTTTAAATAAATAAACTACCCCAAAACTTTACATAATTGCAAAACGTAGCACGTGACTAGATCTTCGTCCGAACCATATGGATGGTAGAAAATAATATAAAAGGAAAGGGTTGAAACATAAGAAAAACTAATATCTATAAACACAATTGGGAAAGAGGTAGGAGACTGAATTTGCAAACTTTAAAAATATGCAAGACATCACAACAAGAGAATATACAAAATCAAATTTTAAAATGAATTATATAAACCAAAAACCCGGCCTGTCAGAATCAAACAAAGAAAATATTTTGGTTTAGTTAGTTTAATTTCAATAAGAGCGAATTGTCCATTTTTTCGGTTGGACTCTAGAGTGTCCGATTTTGATTTGCTACTTTATTTTTAACTTTGAATCATGTAGAATTTTCTCGTTATAATATGTAGATTTTCATAATATTGAATCATATTTTTACATAACAAATGTAAATAGTTGGATTATATTTTTAAGTATTATTGCAATTTGCATGTTACTATGAAAGTATGTTTATTTCAATCTAATAAAAATTGTCAGTATATTTATTGTCCTACCGTACGAGCCACAGCATTTCCAAATATCATCACATTTTTTTTTTAAACTAGAATAAAATGATCTTATTGTTAATTGTTATCCGTCATTTTTATTGCAGAAGTGGACGAACATTGATCAAAATCAATCACATTTATTTTTTTGTTTCTATAACTAAAATGATCTTATTGTTAATTGATATCCATCATTTTTACTCCAGAAGTATGATTAAAATCAATTACATTTTTTTTTTTAAATTATAACTAGAATGATCTTATTTTTTAATTGTTATCTATCTTTTTTATTGCAGAAGTAGACGAACCTTGATCAAAATCAATGCATTGATAACCTTAATAACAATCAAGGGCAAAACACAACATAAATAGAGTTACACTCTGAAGCTATTATTACATTGAACAGCGTTTTAACGCCATTGATACATATCAGCATTTTACAATTTACTTTCAGAACTTTATCTGAAAATAGAATAAAAGAAAAAGATCCCACAAA